TTTATGGCTTTGCGGAACTGAATTTAAAACTGATTTAAGAACAAAAACAAAGAGACAAAGATGGGAAAACAAGAAACACTGAAAGATGACGTTAGGAATACAAAACCCATTATTAGGGTGAAAAATGTTTTTAAAAAGACGTATTAAGAGGGCTGGATACTGTCTGTATGTACAGTGTGTTACACTACATGTAAACATGCTTCTAGACAGAAATGTTGAGATATAAGAGTGACCACACACTCATTAACTCTAATTTTCTCTGGATTTATCCTCTCTCTGTTACTCCACGTGCTTTGTGTTTCATCCTTTTAATCTTTTCATTAATCCTCCACGTCTCTCTCACTCCATCCTGCAGTCTGTATCATCAGATTTAAGGTGTTTAACTCAGCAGGAACACACACTTACACACACTTACTGTATGCTATCATTTTCTCTCATCACTCACATTCTCTCTCTGTCCCAGTCTGTGTTGCGTTATCTGTGTGTGTGTTTGTGTGTACGTGCGGCTTCAGAGGGCGCACACACTCATGACTTCCTCTTCATCACTAATCGCTCTCATCTGCTGATCTTCTTGATCTCTGCTCTGCTGTCTGATACACAACAGAGCGCTGCGGCCCCCTGGGACTCTTTAAAAGCAGTGGAAGGTGTGTGTGCGTGCGTGTGTGTGTGTGTGTGTGTGTGTGGTGTGTTGTTGTTGTGTGTGGTGTGTGTGGTGCGTGCGTGTGCGCGTGCGCCCATGAGAGACTGTGGTTTCACGGAATCAGGCAGGACAGTAGGGGACTGAGTTGGAGGGCATAGTTTGTGGTTTGAGCTGATGGTAAAAGTGTGTTTGTGTGTCTGTTGTGTGTGTGTGTGTGACAGGGAATGGTTTCGCGGAATCTGTTAGAAATCAGTTGTCCAGTAAAGTTTTTTTTTTTTTTTTCTATTATTGGAACAAACAGAGGGTTTGGTGTTGGTATGGAGACCCAAACAAACTGTTGATGAAAACCTTCCTGATACTAATTAAATGCTGACACACACTCAATAATGGTCCCCTCTGTTGTTTAATCCTTACTAATACATTATTTATTAAGGTTTAGAATACTGGTATTATCATTTCCTACAGTCTGTCATGTGGAACATTTAGAAATGCATAATAAGCGTCACTGTTTATCATATTCCTTTATTCCTTCAGCCACTATCTTGTTCTCATCACAAACCAGTGTAACCATTGATGTGTGCTGCCAGTGCATAATCACTGAGGTCAGCAACAGCATTTTCTGTCTGTGTAAATCACCTTGACGAGATAAGTTACAATGTGGATATTTCCATGTGGTTTTCAGTAGTTTTAATACTTCTGATTGCTCCAGTGAGCTGGGTAGTAAACTTCAAGTGAGAAACACAAACAGAAATCTCTCATGGAATAACCCAAACTGTTGGAGCTCTGAGGGACTGCAGACCGATCTCTACACTTGGTTTTAGCGCCGTGCCAGCACTGGAGAAACTGTAAGTGAATGCCTGATTCAATAGTGGAAAATTCCTGCAACCGAATTTCCCATACCTCCTTGGCCCCTCCTGGAGTTTTCTACCCCTCACCACTGAAGCAGTGTTGCTGAGGTAGTCGAAACAGATGTCTGGATCATCCTCTCATCCCGCTGAAGCCTGGGGCGCTCTGCCCTGGGCCTGTAGAGTGCTGAATGGGCATCTTTGAGAAGACAAGTCATGGTGACAGGGGCTGCTGTCTGGGCACGGCTTACAACGTGGACAGCTGGCACTACGAGTCATGAGCTGTCTTCCTGCTGCCATTCAACTTGTGGGTTCGAGGGGAGGGTTTTAGCAGTGATATAATGCAAAACCTTCTGCCTCTCTCTCTCTGCTGTCTCGTGCTTGTTCAAACCTACCCCAGCGTTAAGGTCGGAAACCTTCATTAAACTGAAGTTTGGAGAGGTGTGTTTGGAAGGTCACTGGTTCAAACCCCAGATCGGCAGAATAAAGCCGGCTGGGGCACCTTCTCCTCCCTCATTACCACCACTGAGGTGCGCTTGGCCATGAGGCACTTAATCCTCAACCACAGATCAGATTGTGGTTGTACTGGGCAGCTTCCAGGTAAATGAGTGTAACTGTGGTTGTGAGCAGGGTATTCATGAACCCCCCTGAACCGATGATCTAACCTCTCTTATCGGCCAGTGTCGGTGTGTTCCGCACTGTTGGCCCTTGTCTGCGGCTTTTCCGGCCGACTGAGCATGTTGAATCGGCGGAGGCCATTGGTGCTGAAGCGAATTCAGCAACGACTTCATCAGAAGATCACACACGAAAGGATGATCTCAGTTTTCTCATTCTGACCACACCAGTGCCATTTGCTACTTCACATTAGACATTTTCTCAAGTAGAAGCAGCTGTTTTACTGAACCATCTGAGCGTAGTCGGCAAACCATCATCCATAGGGTTGCGTTTGCTTATATCTGCGGTCCTAGGTCTTCTGGAGTTCTTTTTTGAATGTCAAATGCAGACTACCGCAACCTGCTGGTATGGAGAGTTATTAGGCACTGAACATACGTGCTAGTTGGCCGCTAGTCGGTGTGCTCTAGTGTCACTTTTTGGCCGAGACACAAGATAGAGGCGACGTGAGACGACGCAACAGTGTGCTTTTTTGGCAGTTAGTTATTTAAAGTCTGTTTGGTGTGTCACAGCCTTTACAAAGACAGAATTATGTGTGTTTGGACTAAAATATCTGACCTGGAAGGAGGGTGGATCTCTATAACACTGTCCAATTCACAACATACTTGTATTGTTGTATCTTCTGTTTTCAACACACCTAACCCTAATTTTACCTCACAAGTAAACTTTTCCACCCAGATTCAGGAGGGAAAAAAATGTATGTAGTCCTGTAAACAATTTATCTTCAACTCATTCCATCCAAACACCTCACTAAGCATCTCACTCCCCCCCCCCCCCCCCCAAGTGTGTTGTACAGTTACAGGAGTCGGATGGCGGCTTCGGGAAATCCCATAAAAGAGTGGTGTGGTCAGCAAGATGAGCAGAGTGGAGACAGGACTCTATCACTGAGTCTTAGACTGCAGTGTGTTATACAAACACACACACACAAATAAACACATACTGTACCCCACGCCGAGCCCCAGGTCTTGACTCAACACCATAAACCCGCCATCCCATCATGCTTGGCGGCAGCATCAGCGGTGAGGAAGCCAAATGTGATGACATGATGCGTGACATCACTCACACAACACGGTACACTTTAAATTAGCAGACGGTCTCCTCACACACGCACTCGTTTCTTGTCATAATGCCAGGCACACACCTGCAGGGGGTTATAAATAATGTCTGTAATTATGTACACACAAATCACACACACTGCACTGTTGAATTCCGCGAAGCCGGGGTTGCTCACATCGAGACAAACACACCAGCACACACACATTCAGTGACAGAGCAGCCCTGAGGCCTGTCTGACAGGACAGTTTAGTGGTCTCATTAGCAGTGGGTGGAATGCCAACAGATAATTAACCAGGAGAGATGAAGAGAGAGAGGGAGGGCGAGTGTCAGCAGTAAAACACATAAGAGAAAGATGTTCTTTATGAGGTGGATAAAGTGAAAAGACGATAAAACCCCAGAGGGGAAGGAAGCTGACTTTGACTGGTTTCTGGGTTTGAACCGGCGGACAAGACAGACACTTTCACCAACCAGCTGAGCTCCAGACTGACACCATCCTCTGTACCAGGGAGGGATACCATAATGATGATAATGAAAACCATTTAAGGATGATGCGTTTAAGGCTGGCTGTATTCAATAGTTTTAAATATAGTCAACGAATCCCATTTAAAAGACTAAATCCTACAATACGTGGGATTTAAAGTTGATGTATTGGTAAAAAGAAAATGCGACTAAGTACAAACGATACAGAGTCAGCGAATAAATCATAATGTGAGGAGATAAAAACATCACATCTGTGTGGAGGAATGAGGAGACTGTAACCTTCCCCCAGTTAATACAGGAATATTTCCATTATGTTTTCAATTTTTTTTCCTCCACCATTTGGGGTTTTCCCTGTTCTTCTACAAAGAATAGCACCAACTGGAGAATTCGCACCACCTACGGCTTATTTCGATGAACAATGTTCACATAAAAGCAGATGGATGGAAACAGGCATAGATTTGCACTTAAACGTGTTAATATTTGCACTAACTACTGCGTTAGTCAGTCTCGTAGTACTTTTGTGACTTCCCTAACACATTGACTCCTACTGAATACGTAAACCTTAAAAAAAACACACAAATATATAGATACATTTTTTTTAAATAGTGCGTTACTCTGGGACTATTTTCAGCGGTGGATTAATCCACATTTGGTGTCCTAGTGAATATTTTGTAGTTCTGGACATCAATAGAACTCTATGGCACAGAGGAATAAGATAAATCAGACTTTGGATCAGACCATTGTTGGTTGTGGTCTTTTGATTTAATCAGTAACACAGAATGTCTCATCCTAACACATCAATGAATTTTAGTTAGCCGGAGTAACGAACAGGGATGAATATTAAACCTCAGAACTACTGAATAAATTGTCTGTTGTGTTAAAATGCTCCTGAGCGTTCTTTTGCTAGATAAGTACATTCAGATATCAGTACTAAGTATTGTTTTTGCATTGGTACTGAAATTAGGTAACATATTGTTACCGGTACTGAAAATCCTTAAATGACACCCACCTGTCATAGGAAGGTGATAATTTCGATTTCATTTTTGGAAAGTGAACGTAACTGCGATTGAGCTGGCAGCATTACGGATGCATAAATATTTCAAATGAGAAATGAGTTTACCTGGAATGAGATTTTATATCAAATAGGGTACATTTTCACTTTAGCACATTGACTTGGGACGGTTCTACCAACCTGACTGTTTCCACCATAGCCAAAGACACAGTTCAGTATAAAGATTAAAATGCTGAGTGAAGGTAGTGCTGTGAAATTGCCTTCACAAACAATAAGTAGACTCTCACATTGAATATTTGAATCAACTCACTTTTATTTGAAGTCATTTGGGATAACAGTGTCAGCTGAACGATTTAAGAGTAATTTTATTTCAGTATGAACAGATGTAAAAAAAGAAGACGATGCTGATACACAATGCTAAAAAAGAAAAAAAACAGCGGTTAAATAGTTATGGTCTCAATATCCGGCCGATCTGGGCAGCGGTCAACTAAAGTTAGTCTTCTGTCACAACTAAAATTTGATAATGAATGCTTATGTGGGACATGTCAAACAACTGTGCCCGTCTACAGTGGACAGACTTGATGCTAATCGTACCTGTTGTCTCATTATCCAAGAGTTCTTGAAATGAAACAAAACCAGATGCTCATTTCACTTTGGCTGCAGACAAAGAGACTCGAGTCAAATCTGATGAAAACGCACAGTAAAACAGCTGTGTTGTATTGATGGAGAGAAATTTATCACCTGCTTATTGAAAACGTGTGGAGTTCTTGCACATGAACCTTGAACAAAATGCTTTAGCTTCATAAACAGCTCTCACAAAAATACCCTGTGAAAATCCCGTATCTCCATCTGTCTTCTGCCAAAATAGTAAAACAACAAAACAAGTTAAAAACAAAGTGCAGACTTGGGTGGAATATGTCATTTCACACCAGACACTCAGTCCAAAGTGTGTTGGGATCAGTGGAGAGAAATGTGTTAGATGTTAATGCAAGCAGCCTAACCAACAGAAAATCCTCTGTAAAAAAAGACAAAAGCAAACCACCAGAAGTTCCTGGAGAAGACGATAACGTTTGCAGGCTGTGATGTAAACTCTTTGTGTGTCCAGACGTTTTTGCAGGACAATCAGGACGATGATGAAAACGTGGTAACTAAGGCCACTTCAGCAGGACTGGATACGCCTCTGCCCAAATCCCAAACGATCCTGTCTCCCTGTCGACAGGACAGTCTTTGTCTCGGACAAGACGAGGAGGAAGATGTGTGGCAGGATGGTAAAACGGTGGATCCTTTCACCTCCTCTCCTCTCATGGAGATGTTTGTTTGTTCGGAGAAGAGGAAGAGGAGGAGGAGGAGAAGGTGCGAGATAGAGTAGAAAAAGGAGAGATCATCTGCTCATTCAACCGCCTCTTCACCGAAAGAAACGTTCCATCCTTGCATCCTTAGAACAAGTTTTTCTGAGAGGAACAGAGGCGTAGTGGTAGGTGTAGAAATATAAATAGACAAGAAGATGGAACAGGAGGTTCGTTAAATACCTCCTTCACATCCTTTGTTCATCTTTATCAATTTAAGATTATCATCTCCTTCTCATTAAAGAGTCTGTTAGTTCAGAGTTTCCACCAGCTAAGCGCTACCATTTCAGCAGTTACCCAGCCAGCTGGCGAGTCGGCTGGTTGGTCGGTTGTCACGGTGACAGTGAGGTGTGGTGGGCGTGGCATCAGTCGGTGGGAGTTGGGATGACACAGATGTGCAGGAAGTTGTCGGGGTGGCTGAGGTGTTCGCTGAGCCACTGCAGAGGAGTCTCCAGCAGAGGCTCGATGCCGTGGATCACCACCTGGTATCGCTTCTGCTCACCTGGAAGGAGACAGAGGGACAGTTTTTCATATAATTAGTTAGTAGCATCTTTTAATTCATTTTCTTTCAAACTTTCTTCTACTGGAAAGCCGGCTTCTAATTTATTTTTAAGCGTTTATTCGGTTTTCTGTTCTTTCATATTGTGGAAGTTCCTCCCTGTCTCACTTAAGGTATTTTAGTATTTAGAGAAGTGAGAATAGGGGAGAAGAAGGGATTGAGAAGAGAAAGAATCAGGATGGTAGTCGAAGACAACAAAGAGGTAGAGAGGATTGGAGGGAACTAGTGATACTGAGGTGGTAAAGTTGAGAGGAGGAAATTAGTAAGATCAAAAACAGTGTTGAGGACAGAAGAAAAAGAGGAGGAAAGGAGAAAGTGTGTGAAGAGAAAAAGGGAAAATGGTGGAAGGGAAGACAAAGCAGAAAAATTAGGAAAGGCGACACTAGGTCAGAAACAAGAAGAAAGAGAAGCTAAAAAGAGTAAGATGGTAGAGAGAAAAAAGGAAAAGAGATGGTTACGAGGTGAGCGAGACCACATCAGACGTACAGTAATACCACTGGTGTGGTGGGTGAGAGAGAGAGAGAGAGAGAGAGAGAGAGAGAGTACGAGAGTACGAGAGTAAGGAGAGTGACAGTTGATGTTTTTGTGTTCGTCGTTGAATTTTAACTTTCACTCTGACAGTTTGCAGTTTCAGACTGTGTGTGAGTCTCTGGCTATGATAGCCTTCTGTGACTGACCCCGCCCACCGCTGAAAGGCCATGACCGCAATCGTCCGTTACGAGCAGCGACTTTCGCAACCATCTCGACCTACCGGGGATCATTAGTCGTATTACAAACGGGCCGTGAAGCCAGAAAGACACGAGGCAGGAAGAGTTGAATGAAAAACTCTTAGTTGCATTTTGGGAAATGGAGGATCGGAGTTTAACCTTTACGGAGGACTCAAAGTCTAGTTATCGACTTGATTTTGCCCCCTTTTTTTTTATTTTTATTTACTCATCTCTTGTAAGCCTTTGTGAACTTTGTAGTTGTGTAGTCCTAAAATGCCGCACTAACCCTTTAATGCTAATTCAAATGTCTTTGGCTTCGTGGTTAGGCGTTATTCTACCCAACTGAATTGAGCAGGGACCTTAGTCACATTTCTAGTTCACTTGAATATCTCTCCACTTTTATCTAATATCTCATCTAATTAGGGCATAAAATTCCCCAAAAATAAAAAAACTTTAAATGTATTAGAAAGTAAAAGCATTGGCCTGTTGCACCAAAAGAAACCACAACATATATAAGGTCTTTAAATTAAATTAAATTAAAATGATACTTTGAATTAAGATAAATTAGTATATTATAAAATAATTTAAAGACTTTTATAGCAATTTTCCGTATGTGTACATATTTTTTCAAAAATAGTAGTAATAATAATAATATTTTTACTTATTTATTATTTAAATTGTGGGTTTTTGTATAAATGTTATTTAGAGCTCCTTGAATGAATTAAATACAAAAGTATTTCAGGCTCAAGTTGAAATCAAAACTGAGGTCATTATAGTTTCAGGACTTAAGAAAAATGTAAAAAATAAATTAAATAAATTAATAATTTAAATAAATTAAAAGTTTATAGACACATGTTAATAACATTTTCTATTGTTGAGCTTTAGAGGTGTATTCCTACTTGCAGTTTAAATTCTTCTTCAAACAAAAAAAAATAATTTTAAATTAATAAAAGAAAACGTACAGGTGAGGTCTGGTGGTTGAACTTGAAATGCAGATTGTTCTGTTCAAACCAACAGATTGATTCAAGTGATCTGTTTACACTTGACTGGTTTCTAGTGAAGCCAAAGTCAGACTACAGAAAATGTTTTACATATATAAAAGAGAAATAAGAATTTAATCTCACTTCAAAGACTGATTCATGTTTCAAGACAAATATTTTTGCAGTTTTGCAGTGAACGGGCCGGAAGGTGACAAATGTTTTGCTCAGCTGTAAAACAGAAACTGTGTTTAATATTTTCATTAAGATGAAACCAGTTAATGCAGCTGTCTTCAGTTTGGTAGGTCTTAGAAAAAAACCCTAACTAAAAAGCATAACAATGATCTTTGAGTTTAAAATGTATCTTTATAAATAATAATGATACATGTATTTTTAAGCAATTATTTTAGATATTTAATTAAAACAAAATTAAAACATATTTTAGTATTTGTAAGTGGCATTTCGGTTTCTGTCTAATTACGCACGGCTGTCATACACAATGCCGTACATGACCGTTGTTGACAGATGTTGCATGTGTGCGTGAGAGAGACAGACCATGATGGGCCTTTTCCCGTCTATCACTCTTGACCTCACACACACACACAGGTCGGCCCCATTCACCCACCGATACATGACATTTTAGCTCCACGTAATATCAGGAGGACGGTTGAGACAGAGCGTTAACCGACCGTCTGAGAAGTGGCTCCACCCTACACCTGTTTACTGGCTGGCAAACAACAACGCGCGAGAAACTAATGCCAGGAAACTATGTGCTCAGCAAAGCTTTTCTTCTCACAATTACAGATGTGCACATGTAGGACTGAGGTGCATGTATGAGGTGGGCTGCTTCTGCTGGTGGCTGCTAAAATGAAAAAATGAAGTAAATCATTAGAATTTACCAGTTATACCAATTATCTGATTATATAAAATATATAATATTTATACAAATTATTCATTTTATTCAGAATTTGTGCGTAGGCCACAACAGAGTGACAGTTTCCAGCTTGTGGCTGCTAGATTCCAAAATGAATAGCTAAATTGATATTTGAATGTGCTGATGCAGAGGTAGATCACAGATGAAGCTAAAAGGTGAAGCATGGAGTGGTTTTGCAGGAGGATTAAAAAGGAAACCGTTTACTAGCTAATCTAACTGAAGTTTGGTGGGTGCAGGAAGTTTGGTGACAACAGGCTGTAGAAGGTGAAGAAGGTGTAGAGTGCACTGATTGCTGTTGCTAAATTAAGGCTCTGGTGATCTGTTGATTTTTAAGCTCACTAGAGGAAAGTAGGTGCAGGACAGGTGTAAGGAGGAGAAATCCAGTTAAATTAAATTAAAAGAGTTTAAAAATTTGATTCAAAACATTAGAAATGTGTGAAAATGTACCAGTGACCAGATTTATTTTGTTCACGCAGTGCCTGTTAGGAGGTGATTAACTTTGCTTGGTTGTTGGTGGATTGAAAAGGTCATTCATTTACACTGCTAAATGTCTTTTAAACTAAGAACTCTTTAAAGAGTTGAGAAGTTTGAGAAGTCAAGGTGGAGTACGTATTTGCACTGTTGGCTTACTGCACTAAAACCACTGAGCCACAAAGCTTGAAAAAGGAAACCAGCCAGAATTCAAGATATCACTGTACTGATGCAATTTCCTTTTGATTGAAAGGAGTCAGATATTGTTGTAAAGCTACAAGACACCTGAAAGTGACCTAAAGTTACGGTTGTTATGAGAGTGCATATTCTGAAGAAAGTGGGGTGTGCCTGCTAAGAGTTGAGGTGCAGCTGAATGAACGTAAACTGTAAGAAAAAACGTTACATATCCTTTGACAGAAGAAGATGATGAAAGAAATCAAGAAAGTACAAAAATGAATCAGGTAGTAAAATGAATCAAGTAGTAAAATGAATCAGGTATACGCACTGACAGTATTGGAAAATATAGATATAACAAGATATTAGCTCAAGTATACTGAAAGGACTGAATTTGAATTAAAGTCTTATTACTGAAAGGAGTTGACTGCTGGTGGAAGTGTACGCATGGTACGTACTGTGTACTAAAAGGGATAAAAAAAGTTAATTTATTATAATTATTTTTCACTGTTACAACTTTAACTGTAAAAAAGGTTTGGGAGTAATTTTTTGGTAAAAAATAAATAAATGATTTGCTCGAATTCTAGATTAACTATATTTTTTAAAACACAAAGAGCACAAATATTGACATTTTTAACTGTATTATATAATATATTACTTTGAGGGACAATCTGCAACAGCATAATCAGCGTTGCTTTATGTTTTTCTTTTTACCAGCGGAGCTTGTAAACCAATATTACTCATTAAAAATAGGATTAAATAGTATTAACCTGGAAGGATTTGTGAAAATATTTAGCCTTAATCAGCGGCCCTTTTTGATTGGTTTTTAGCAATTATAATTTTACAACTACTATTTATTTTATTACTTACTCGTTGCTGCACCACTTCACTGTTGGTAGGTTTTATCATAGTATATACTTTTATTTTTAATTGGCTTTTGCTTATTTTATTTTCAGAATATGATTGTAAAGCTGCTTTGAAAAGTGCAACAGATGATGAAATCAACTGAGCCGATTACCATGTGCAACATGTGCAGCGAAGTTTTAATTATTTTAAGAATTTTAGCTCATAAGCACCGAAAGTAAAAGGTGTGATACTGCCATCTGACAGCAATAGTGAGACCACACTTTCTCTGGTTCACACACAAACACACACACACCACACACACACACAGTCTCTCTCTCTCACACACACAATTTCTGGGTGGTATTTGTCACCCATCTCTAACCTTTAGCTCCCGTTTTGCCTGGTAACAGGCAAGATGTGGGGATGGGGGTGGAGTAGGTGTATTCTTATAGTCTCACTATGAGAAATGGGGGAAATTCACAATGGGCCACACCCCCAACACACACACACACAACACACACCACAGCACACACACACACACACACACACACAACCCACTCAAATACATATTACTGTAGATCATCACATTAGCCACCTGCACCTACAGTAAATCACTCAGACACACATACAGTCTCACGCTCATGCCCACACACTCAAGTTTGGAGATGTATGAGCAAAATGCAGGGAGAATGAAAATCTGTGACACATAAGGTCAGTCTGAGTTTTAACTCGGCATCGTTTCTCGTATTTCGGTCATCATTGGCTAGCTGAATTCCTGCAATAAACATGTTGTTAATGATCAGAACAGCTGAGACCCGTTACTTTGAGACAGCA